GTCACAGTCATCATCTGTGTACTAGTACATCACAGTCATCACCTGTGTACTAGTACATCAGACACAGTCATCACCTGTGTACTAGTAAATCAGACACAGCCATTACCTGTGTACTAGTACATCGGACACAGTCATCACCTGCATACTTGTGCATCGGACAGTCATCACCTGTGTACTAGTGCATCAGACAAGTCATTACCTGCGTACTAGTGAATCAATTACAGTCATCACCTGCTGTTGGAGTGTAAGCAAAGTAACATTTATGAAGGTATTCAGGAAAACCGGTAGGCTGGACTTGATTTCTGGAGATGGGAAGTACAGTGCCGGCACTCTGAAGGAGAGGTGTTAGTGGTGCAGTTTTATAACTGTAGTGTAAGCATGCCTCTGGCAAGACAGTGATAGTTTGAGTGATGATTAAAGTTTTTCTTTTTCGGGCCACCCTGCCTTAGTGGGAAACAGCCTATGTGTTAATAAAAAAAAAACTGTGTATTAGTACATTGATTACAGTCATCACCCATTTACTAGTGCATCGATTACAGTCATCACCTGCATACTAATGAATCAATTACAATCACCTGTGTACTAGTGCATTGATTACAGTCATCACCTGTTTACTAGTACATCAGACACAGTCATCACTTGTGTATTGACCCTTTGAGGGTTTCGGACGTACTAGTACGGCTTACGACCCAGGGTTTTTGACGTACTAGTACGCCTAAATTCTAGCGCCCTCAAATCTAGTGGGAGAAAGCTGGTAGGCCTTCATATGAAAGAATGGGTCTATGTGGTCAGTGTGCACAGTCTAAAAAAAATCCTGCAGCACACAGTGCATAATGAGAAAAAAAAAACTTTGACCATTTTTTTGGAATAAAACAGCGATTTTGCACTGTATTTTCGTATGGTACTTTTTGTTGTATTCTAGTTTTCTTGGTCTCATTTTATAGAATGGAAGACATATTACAGAAATTGAGATGATTTTGACTGGTTTTACAATGAAAGATACCTTGAAATTGAGCTCAAAGTAGCAGAAATGTTCGATTTTTACCAAATTTCAAAAGTAAACAAATCGTGCCAAGCATGCAATACACATCAACTGGCGAGTCTAATATTCTTTCACAAGTGCACCAATAATATTTATACCATTTTTTACACTAATGCAGTAGTCTGCATAACAGTAAATCTTATATTTTTTGTGAGAATAAAAATTCAAAGTGGAAAGCAAAAGAATATAAGAGGGGCCTTGAGACGTGACTAATGACCAGAGGAAATGTCATTTTAGTGCCAGGAATGTCTTTCTTGTTTATTCTGGACCCTATTCGGAAATTGGCATCTTTTGAAATTTGTGTGAAATTGGCAAAATTGCTAAATTCTGACCACTGTACTGGATAGTTGAATTTCATAAATGGGTGGTTTCTTGCACCCATTCGATAGAAAAAATGGAGTTCTAGCGAAATATTCATGTTTTTTGTCGACTAGTACAGTGGAATTGGCCGAAAATGGGGCTCAAAGTGGGCAAAATCGCCGATGCGTAAACATTGCCGAGACCGCTAACTTTGCGAGAGCATAATTCCGTAAGTTTTCCATCAAATTTCAAACTTTTGGTGTCCTTATGATCGGGAAAAGATTCTCTATCTTTTCATAAGAGAAAATAATTTTTGTTTCTTTTTTAAATTTAGCCGACCCTGAGAACGAGTTTCAGAGAGAACCTGTCGACCCTCAAAGGGTTAATGCATCAATTACAGTCATCACCTACATACTAGTACAGTGGACCCCTGTCTTTTGGTGGCCGTGACTTTCGCGAAATTCGGCTTTTGGCAACTTTTTTCAGCAAAATATAGCCTCGCGGTTCATGACTGGCCTTGTGATTCGGCAACTGTCTGGTACACATTGGAGCAGCATCCCAGCATCAGTGCACACACGAAGCCAGTCTCCCACACCATTCACACTCAGTGTGCCATTGTTTATTAGCTAGTGACCATCACCCCATGAGTTCGTATGATACATTTCATAATAATCCATTGTTTTTTGTGCTTGCAACTGCTAAATAAGCCACCATGGGCCGAAAGAAAGCTCCTAGTGCCAGGCCTTTGGTAAAGAAGGAAAGAAACACAACAGAATTCAAGAAGGAAAGAAACATGATAGAATTCAAGAAAAAACTCATAGCAAAGTACCAAAGTGGAGGAGGAAGAGAGAGGGGAGAATGTGCCTTCTTCAGTGATTCTACGATATGTACGATACTAAAGCAGCAGGTATCGATAGAGACTATAGCGCCAGCCAGTGATAAAGTGTAGCATTAACAGTGTAGCAAGTAAGACAAGTGATTAAGCAATAGAAAAAGACACGAAAGTAACTCTCCAATGTTGCTGGAGGTATACAGGGCCACTGAACATACACCGCCCTGCTATCTTCCACCACATCTCCTCCAAGGTAAGTGTAAATATTTCTTACTTATAAATTACGTACATTGTTTCAGTGTGAATAGTGTTGGTGGCTTCTGCCACCGCCACCACCACTAGTATGTACAACTTCTCTCAAGTGGCCCTTATAAACCCAACTCCACTACCACCAACACTTACTCCTCAAATATGTTATGACATATTTTATTCATTCTACAGTATACATCATGTTTCTATGTTATTAATATTGTTTATTATGTCATATTAGACAAATTGTGATAGAAAAATAAGCCATAGAGATGACATTAGCATCATATTAAAGCATAATAAATTCGGTTCCCTCTTGTCTCCCTCTCCCCTCCTACCTGTCTGCCATACACCAACAAGAGTCTTCAAATAAAGGTAAGCGTGATGTTAAATGTTCATTTATCCATTTTATTAGTGCTTTATATTCATTTGTCATTGTTTTCTGTATGTAAGTCTATATTTAATCTTTAAAAAAAATATTTTTTGTTAATACTTTTGGGTGTCTAAAACGGATTAATTGGATTTCCATTATTTCTAATGGGGAAAATGGTTTTGCCAGTCGTGAATTTTGCCATTCAGCAGACTCTCTGGAACGAATTGTATCACTAATAACTTTTTTTTTTCACCATATCCTACCTTCTACCATACTATATCCCCTTTTTCTCCTGTGTACAAAGAGCTTGAGGACAATAGTAGTCAAAATTATCATCCCCCACCCCCAGAAAAAAAATTTCACTGATTCAACTTTTACATTACTATTGCTATGCTTTTGCTGGTCTTCACATGACTAGACGTCTGCATCACTAACTTACAGATTTAATCAGATTTAACCCTTTGACTGTCGTAACCCCAAATCCTAAAGTGTCTCCTGGTGTCGCAAAAAAAAAAATGAAATGATAGAGAATCTTTTCCCAATGATAATGACACCAAAAGTACAAAATTTGATGGAGAACTTATGGAAATACGCTCTCGCAAAGTTAGCGACCTCAGCGACATTTACGCATCGGCGATTTCGCCCAATTTGAGTCCTATTTTCAGCCAATTCCATTGTTCCAGTCCATCAAACTCATAGCTATTTCTTTAGAAATCCATTTGTTCTATTGACTGAGTACAAGAAACTGCCCATTTACTGATTTCAACTACCCAATAAAGTGGTCAGATATTGGCAATTTGGCCAATTTCATACAAATTAAAAAATATATCAATTTCAAAATAGGGTCTAGAATGAACAATGCAGACATTCCTGGCACTAAAATAACATTTTCTCTGTTCATCAGTCATGTCTCCAGGCCCCTATTATAATACTCTTGCTTTCTATTTTGAATTTTTATTCACACAAAAAAATGGAAGATTTACTGTTATGCAGACTACTGCAATATTGTAATAATTGTATAAATAACGTCAACCCATTCATGACTGCATATCATAATGGCTAGTTGGACATTTATTGGACAATGATGTCATTTGTTTACTCTTGAACATCAGCAAAAAATCGAACATTTCTGCCACTTTGAGCTCCATTTCATAGTAAAACCAATCAAAATCACTTCTGTTTCTATAATATGTTTTCCATACTCTCAAACGAGACCAAGAAAACAAGAATACAACCATAAATACTATACGAAAATACACCTCAAAGTCGGCATTTTAATCCAAATACAGTGGACCCCCGCATAACGATCACCTCCGAATGCGACCAATTATGTAAGTGTATTTATGTAAGTGCGTTTGTACGTGTATGTTTGGGGGTCTAAAATTGACTAATCTACTTCACAATATTCCTTATGGGAACAAATTCGGTCAGTACTCGCACCTGAACATATTTTTGGAGTGAAAAAATATCGTTAACCGGGGGTCCACTGTACACAGTTTTTTTTTTCTCATTATGCACTGAGTGCTGCAGGATTTTCTTTTTATATTGCACACACTAACCACAAAGACCCATTCTCTCACATGTGGGCCTAGCAGCTTTCTCCTGCTTGATTTGAAGCCGCTAGAATTTTTTAGCATATATACGTCAAACACACTGGCACGTAAGACGTATATATAAGACCAAAACAGTCAAAGGGGTAAACTTTTCCAGACAGTTGTATTCTTGAAGTATACATCGTTATATACTAGAACATCACAGAATCCAAAAATTTAGAGACAAATCTATTAGACATGTCTAAAAATTCTTAACTAAAGGTATTTCAACAATAATGACATTGTATTACCAAAAATCTTAGAGGAGGGTGGAGATGGTAGAGTGGTGTTAGGGTGAAGTATGATGTTTTAGTTGAACACAGTGGTAGGGGTGAAGTGGGGCAGAGCAAATGTAAGGTGTTGTGTAAGATGTGATGAGAACGGGAGGGGAACAGAAGAAAATGACAGGGAGGGATGGAAAGGGAAGAGAGATGGACTCTTCTGATTATAATATGGATGTCAATGGGAAAATAGATTACAAGTTCCAAACAATTAACTTGCGAACAATTTTCAGGATATCATTAACCTACTACCTACTAATGAAACAAATTACTTAGTTGAACAAGTAATGCAGAGCATCATAAAATCAATACCCAACAAAATTTAATATACCTTTTAATCCGCCGCCATCAACAGCAACCACTTGTATGGAGTAATCAGGAGTCTTCTCTCTATCCAAGCAACAAACTGCAGTCTTAATAACTCCGGTGTCTGGTTCTATTTCAAAGATAGGTGTAGCTGTATTTTCATCAATGACATTTTTCTCAATGGAATAAGTTAGCTTGGCATTTGTACCCTCATTAGCATCGTCATAATCCTCTGCTGTCATTGTCATAACAACCATTCCTTGAGTTCCATTTTCTGTCACGTTTCCAAAATATACCATCTGTAAACAAAGTAAATATTAGAAAATATCTGAGGCACATAAAATGTTCACTGATTGACTCTTACAAGAAATATGTTTTCTTTTGTAATCATGTTATTACAGTCATGAGTAAACCATTAATACCCATACCTGGGGAAAGAGTGGAGCATTATCGTTGATATCCTTGAGGTTAACTTGTACATCAGCATAGCCCACTAGACCAGTGCCACCTTCATCCTGGGCAAACACAGTAAATCTCCATGTTGGCCGACCCTTAGGATGATCACGGTCGAGGGGCTGCAAGACAAAGATAGTAGTTGCCACTGATTTATAAAATTCAAATTGCTAGAACAAATTACACGTATATAATGGAGAGCAGCAAGAGACTCGAAACTCATCAAAGGTACACACAACAAATTCAATAATTACAATGGTGATGTAAAGTATGCTAACACTAAACAAAAATTCTGGGTATAATAACGTATTTCCTAGGTAGTAGGTTGGTAGACAGCAACCGCCCAGGGAGGTACTACCGTCCTGCCAAGTGAGTGTAAAACGAAAGCCTGTAATTGTTTTACATGATGGTAGGATTGCTAGTGTCCTTTTTTCTGTCTCATAAACATGCAAGATTTCAGGTATGTCTTGCTACTTCTACTTACACTTAGGTCACACTACACATACATGTACAAGCATATATATACACACACCCCTCTGGGTTTTCTGCTATTTTCTTTCTAGTTCTTGTTCTTGTTTATTTCCTCTTATCTCCATGGGGAAGTGGAACAGAATTCTTCCTCTGTAAGCCATGCGTGTTGTAAGAGGTGACTAAAATGCTGGGAGCAAGGGGCTAGTAACCCCTTCTCCTGTATAAATTACTAAATTTAAAAAAAGAAACTTTTGTTTCTCTTTTTGGGCCACCCTGCCTTGGTGGGAAATGTATTTGCATTTACAGGAACAAAACTGTGCTTGTGTTGTCCTGTCTTGAATTAACAATTACTGTATAAATTTTAAAAGTTTCTAAAACCTGTATGACACCATACCTGTTCTTAAAGCCTTTCAACTGTTCCCTTTGTAAAGAAACTCTGGCATGGTAAAGAAATTAGGCATGGTACATTCCACACTGGAATGTACCATGCTTAATTCACATGACAACTCGCCTTTCTAGCCCCATTACAGTCCATCTTTCATCTTAAGATCAGTGTTCAAGTTTAATGAAACACGTTGTCGGTTGTGGAGGCTGCCTATAATGGCTTCAGTGGAGTGATTTCTCTGTGGCTATGCAAGGGTGATCTCAAGCCACAATCCTGTGCCAGTGATGTACAATACCCTCTCTGTCCTTGGCTGCTCTCCATGGGGTGTAGTTTTTTCTGACTTGACCTAGGGAGATTCTTTGGGTTTTTCTTCTTCTGCAAAGACCTAACAAGGTTGGCAGCGCACCAGCCACTCATGTGATGTCACATGGGAAAACTGATGGCTATGCACAAATTATAGAACTGCCTGCTGACCACACAGGCCTTCTCAGTGTTCTAAGTGTTGTTATTTGGACATGTCCATCTTCATCTCACCCAGAATGTTTCTCCTGTGTGGCTATTTGTGACTGCTAATTTGTAGCTACAGAGCAGAGCAAAGCTTGTGGTGGCCTGTCTTCAGTATTTATCACAAATATTTTTAAAGGTTCCAGTGGCTATAGGACTTACTATCTCCTCTTATAAACCATTCCAGTCTACCACTCTGGCATCCTTTGGCAGTTTTTATTCCTTATAGTCATGACCATTTGTGCCACTTGATGGTGTTAGGATAGGAAGTCTTTCTTGTCAATTCTTTTGTATTCCCTTATAATCTTGACTATGGTTCTTTCTTAAGATGACATATCCAATGTTTCTTTATAACTCCTATTGCACAAAGAAATAGATTAGGAGAGCTGGGATCCACATGGAGATGTGCCTGCAAGGCTGGACCTAGTATTTACTGCAAGTATGTCCAACATAGGAGAAATAGAATACAAGATCTTCTTGGGCACCAATGACCATACAGCACTGAGCTTCGATTGCCTTGATATATATATATATAAAGCAGCTCTATACATCATTAGCTCCTTCAGTGTCAGTCTCGTAATATTACTGCTTTGAAGCCAGTGTTGGTCTCATAATATTACCGCGTTGAAGCCAGTGTCGGTCTCGTAATATTACCGCGTTGAAGCCAGTGTCAGTCCCATAATACTATGCCAAAAGTCTAGCGGCTTCAAATCTTGGAGAAGAAAGCTGGTAGGCCTACATGTAAGAGAATGGGTCTGCATGATCAATGTGTGCTGTATACTTTTGATATACCCTCGAAGAATTTCGAGAGTTAATCTACTCTCTGAGCCCAGCCATGGGCCAGGCTTGTCTGGTGCTTGCCTGATCAACCAGGCTGTTGCTGCTGGAGGCCTGCTGCCCCACATATCCATCTCATTTGACAGAATGGAAGACTTATTACGGAAATAGAGGTGATTTTGAAAGGTTTACGACTAAAAGTAGCTTGAAATTGAGCTCAAAGTAGCAGAAATGTTCGATTTTTGACGATGCTCAAGAGTAAACAAATCACAGTCACACGTTCATTACACAACAACTGGTGGGTCTGCACTGATATTATTTATACAATTATTACAATTATGCAGTAGCCTGAATAACAATAAATCATCTACATTTTTGTGTGAAAAAAAAATCAAAATGAAAAAGCAAGCGTAATATAAGAGGGGCCTGGAGATATGACTAATGAACAGAGAAAAATGCTATTTTAGTGCCAGGAATGTCTAGATTGTTTATTCTGGCCCCTATTTTGAAATTGGCCAAATCAGTAATTTCTGATCTTTTTTTTGTGTAGTTGAAATAGGTAAATGGGCAGTTTCTTGTACTCAATAGATAGAATAAAAAGTTCTAGTTTGGTCAAGTGGAGCAAAGGAATTGGCCCAAAATAGGGCTCAAAGTGGGTGAAATTGCTGATGAGTAAATATCATCGAGACCACTAACTTTGTGAGAGCGTAATTCCGTAAGTTCTCCAACAAATTTCAAACTTTTGGTTTCATTACCTTAGGAAAAAGATTCCCTAACATTTAATAAGAATTTTTTTTTTTTAAAGATCTTTAACACCATGAGCAAGTTTGCGAGCAGGGGGTCTCGGCACTCAAAGGGTTAGTAAAGCCTTATATTATGCAGCTCAGTTCTGGTCTTCATACTACAAAATGACTATAATTGAACTGGAGAACATATAGAGAAGGATTACAAAATTAATCTAGTGTATAAGGAGGCTTTCATATGAAAACAGATGGATAGCCCTGAAACCTTCACTTAGAATGATGAGAAACATGACTAAAGTGCCAAATACAAATGGAAGATGAGCATAAATATTGTCTACATAAATGTTACTCTGCTCACACTCCAACAGCACAAAGTCATAAAATCTACTAGTCTCCACTCATTCCACTCTAACACAAAAACAAGAAAATACACACACACACTGCTGTTGGATGTCCAAGCCCCTTTTCATACAAAACCTCCTTAACTTCCTCCTCCAACCTTTCCTAGGACAACCCCTACCCCTCCTTCCCTTTCACTACAGATTTATACACCCTCCAAGTCACCCTACTTTGCTCCATCCTCTCTAAATACCCAAACCACCTCAATATTATTATTTTTAGTGGCCCCACATCTCCCAATCTCCAAACTATAAATTCTCTGCATAATATTCACACCACACATTGCCCTCAGACATGACATCTCTACTGTCTTCAGCCTCCTCCTCTCGGCAACATTTAAAACTCGTGCTTCACACCCATACTTCATCCACAGAAATAACTAAGTTCATACACTGTATAAAAGGCAATAATTAACCATTTATCTGGTACTAGATTTATGTATTTTTGTAACTCAAAAATTATCTAAAGAAAATATTCATAACTACATAACTATTAATAATTAACTTTACAACAAGTTGAACTATTTTATAGCATATTAATATATTTAAAAAACTCTTCTTAACCTTTTCACTGTCAAGGCCCCTGCTCACAAACTTGTTCTCAGTGTTGAAGAATTTAAAAAAAAAAATTGATTTTTTCTTATGAAATGATAGAGAATCTTTTCCAATGGTAATGACACCAAAAGTATGAAATTTGATGGAAAACTTATGGAATCACGCAAAGTTAGTGGTCTCAGCGATATGTACAAATCAGCAATTTCGCCCACTTTGAGCCTTATTTTCGGCCAATTCCATTGTTCCAGTCGACCAAACTCAGAGCTATTTCACTAGAACCCCATTTGTTCTATCGACTGAGTACAAGAAACCACTCATTTACCAATTTCAACTACCCAGTAAAGTGGTCAGAAATTGGCAATTTGACCAATTTCACACAAATTTCAAAGATGCCAAATTCAAAATAGAGTCCAGAATAAACAATGCAGACATTCCTGGCACTAAAATAGCATTTTCTCTGTTCATTAGACATGTCTTGTCCCTTTTATGTTACTCTTGCTTTCCATTTTGAATTTTTATTCGCACAAAAAATAGAAGATTTACTGTTATGCAGACTACTGCATAATTGTAATAATTGTATAAATAATATCAACCCTTCTGTGACTGCGTATCAGACTGGCCAGTTGGACACGTATTGGACAGTGACATTATTTGTTTACTCTTGAACATTAGCAAAAATAAAAGATTTCTGCTACTTTGAGCTCAATTTCAAGAGACTTTTCATCATGAAACCAATCAAAATCATCTCTATTTCTGTAATATACCTTTGAAGAGCTTAGAGAGTTTGACTACTCTCAGAGCCCGGCCATGGGCCAGGCTCATCTTGTGCTTGCCTGGTCAACCAGGCTGTTATTGCTGGAGGCCCACTGCCCCACATATCCATCACAACCTGGTTGATCTGGCATCTGATAAGATACTTGTCCAGTTTCCTCTTGAAGACTTTCTACACTTGTCCCAGCCATGTTTCTGATATCTTCTGGTAAAATGTTGAATAGTCTAGGACCCCGAATGTTGATAGTGTTCCCTTACTGTCCCTACCACACCCCTGCTCCTCACTGGGTTTATTTTACATTTCCTCCCATACCTCTCACTCCAGTATGTTGTTACGACAGCATGCAGATTTGGGAACAGGCCCTCGAGTACTTTCCAGGTACTTTCATGCCACTCTCTCTCCTCTGCTCCAATGAGTACATGTTCAAGACTTAAAGGCACTCCCAGTAATTTAGGTGTTTTATTGGCTCAATGTGAGCTATAAACAATCTCTATTTGTTCCAGCTATAATATTTCTC